GTGGGCAATATCACTGGGGCTGATCTTTAGTACAGGTGGGCAAACTCTGAAAATACAAATAAGATTTAACTCTAAGATCGCAAATTAGAGTTAAGGTAAGTTAAATGTTTAACTCGTGCTAATCGCAAATTAGAGTTAGTGAGCTAAATATTAACTCATGCAGATCAGTGAAATCATTAATTACATAATCAGATGAGTTAAATATTTTCTCACGTCAAATTTTAGCTTTTGAATCCGGTATTGATAGAATTTCGGGAATATCTTTTTTGGCTTTTTTTTTTTCTTGGAATTCGGATGTTTCTTTACGATTTAACTTTCGATGGGGGTTATAAAAATCCGGTAAGCCTTGAGAATTGGCTTTTTTCTTTGAATTTGGATGTTTCTCTACGATTTAACTTTGATGGGGGTTATAAAATTCTGATAAGCCTTGAGAATTGGCTTTTTTCTTTGAATTTGGATGTTTCTCTATGATTCAACATAAGGGTTCATAAATTTTGAAAACTATTTCTCATGGCTTTTTTTTTTTAGATTCAGAAGTTCCTCTACGATTTAACTTTGATGAGGGTTATAAAATTCTGGTAAGCCTTGAGAATTGGCTTTTTTTCTTTGAGTTTGGATGTTTCTCTACAGTTCAACTTTCAATAAGAGTTATAAAATTCTAGTAAGCCTTGAGAATTGGCTTTTTTTCTTTGAGTTTGGATGTTTCTTTATGATTCAACTTTCGATGAGGGTTATAAAATTCCGGTAAGTCTTGAGAATTGGCTTTTTTTCTTTGAGTTTGGATATTTCTCTACTATTCAACTTTTGATAAGGGTTATAAATTCCGGTAAGCCTTGAGAATTGGCTTTTTTTCTTTGAGTTTAGATGTTTCTTTACGATTTAACTTTTGGTAAGGGTTTATAAAATTCCAATAAGTCTTGAGAATTGGCTTTTTTCTTTGAATTTGGATGTTTCTCTATGATTTAACTTTTGATAAGAGTTCATAAAATTCTAATAAGCCTTGAGACTTGGTTTTTTTTCTTTGAATTTGGATATTTCTTTACGATTCAACTTTAATAAGGGTTCAAAAATTTTGAAACTATTTCTTATAGCTTTTTTTTTTAGATTCAGAAGTTCCTCTACGATTCAACTTTTGATGAGGGTTAAAATATTTCGGTAAGCCTTGAGAATTGGCTTTTTTTTTTGAATTTGGATATTTCTCTACAATTTAACTTTGATAAAGGTTATAAAATTCTAATAAACCTTAAGAATTGGCTTTTTTCTTTAAATTTGGATGTTTTTCTACGATTCAACTTTTGATGAGGATTATAAAATTCCGGTAAGCCTTGAGAATTGGATTTTTTCTTTGAATTTGGATGTTTCTCTATGATTTAACTTTGATGAAGGTTATAAAATTCTGATAAGCCTTGAGAATTGACTTTTTTTTTTTTGAATTTGAATGCTTCTCTATGATTTAACTTTGATAAGAGTTCATAAATTTTGAAACCCATTTCTCATAGCCTTTTTTTTTAGATTCGGAAGTTCTTCTACGATTCAACTTTTGATGAGGGTTATAAAATTCCAGTAAGCCTTGAGAATTGGCTTTTTCTTTGAATTTGGATGTTTCTCTATGATTTAACTTTGATGAGTGTCATAAAATTCTGATAAGCCTTGAGAATTGGCTTTTTTTCTTTGAATTTGGATGTTTCTCTACGATTCAACTTTGATAAGGGTTCAAAAATTTTGAAAACCATTTCTCATGGCTTTTTTTTTAGATTCAGAAGTTCCTCTATGATTCATCTTTTGATGAGGGTTATAATATTCCGGTAAGCCTTGAGAATTGGCTTTTTTGAATGTTTCTCTACGATTTAACTTTGATGAGGGTTATAAAATTCTAATAAGCCTTGAGAATTGGCTTTTTTTCTTTAAATTTGGATGTTTCTCTACGATTCAACTTTTGGTAAGGGTTTATAAAATTCCAATAAGCCTTGAGAATTGGCTTTTTTCTTTGAATTTGGATGTTTTTCTACGATTCAACTTTTTGATAAGTGTTTATAAAATTCTGAGAATATCTTTCTTGGTCTTCTTTTCTTTAAATTCAGATGTTTCTCTATGATTTAACTTTGATGAGGGTTATAAAATTCCAGTAAGCCTTGAGAATTGGCTTTTTTTTTTTTGAATTCGGATGTTTCTCTACGATTTATTGTGCTTTGCAAAAAGATATAACCTTGCAAATCACAATGTTATGTGAAAATCAGAGATTCTGTAGATTTTAAGAATTTTACCAATTTCAAATAAATATAAATATAACTGATCGAGAATATGAGTTAATAGACAATTTAAAATCTCGGAAATTTTCCTTGTTTATCATCACAAAAATCATGGGGTCACATCTTTTTGCAAAGCGCTATAACTTTTGATAAAGGTTATAAAATTCTGATAAGCCTTGAGAATTGGCTTTTTTTTTAAAATTTGGATGTTTCTCTACAATTCAACTTTTGATAAGGGTTCATAAAATTCCAGTAAGCCTTGAGAATTGGATTTTTTCTTTGAATTTAGATGTTTCTTTATGATTTAACTTTGATGAAGGTTATAAAATTCTGATAAATCTCGAGAATTAACTTTTTTTCTTTGCTTCTCTATGATTCAACTTTGATGAAGGTTCATAAATTTTGAAACCCATTTCTCATAGCCTTTTTTTTTAGATTCGGAAGTTCCTCTATGATTTAACTTTTGATGAGGGTTATAAAATTCCGGTAAGCCTTGAGAATTGGCTTTTTCTTTGAATTTGGATATTTCTCTATGATTTAACTTTAATGAGTATTATAAAATTCTGATAAGCCTTGAGAATTGGCTTTTTTTCTTTAAATTTGGATGTTTTTCTACGATTCAACTTTGATAAGGATTCAAAAATTTTGAAAACCATTTCTCATAGCTTTTTTTTTTTTAGATTCGGAAGTTCCTCTACGATTTATCTTTTGATAAGAGTTATAATATTCCGGTAAGCCTTGAGAATTGGCTTTTTTGGATATTTCTCTACGATTTAACTTTGATGAGGGTTATAAAATTCTAATAAGCCTTGAGAATTGTCTTTTTTCTTTAAATTTGGATATTTCTCTATGATTCATTTTTGATAAAGGTTCGGAAAATTCCGGTAAGCCTTGAGAATTGGCTTTTTTCTTTGAATTTAGATATTTTTCTATGATTCAACTTTTGATAAGTGTTCATAAAATTCTGGAATATCTTTTTTGGTCTTTTTTTTCTTTAAATTCAGATATTTTTCTACGATTTAACTTTGATGAGGTTTATAAAACTCCGGTTAGCCTTGAAAATTGGCTTTTTTTCTTTGAATTTGGATGTTTTTCTACGATTCAACTTTTTGATAAGTGATCATAAAATTCCAGAAATATCTTTCTTGGTTTTTTTTCTTTAAATTCAGATGTTTCTCTACGATTTAACTTTGATGAGAGTTATAAAGTTCCGGTAAGCTTTGAGAATTGGCTTTTTTTTCTTAGAATTCGAATGTTTCTCTATGATTTAACTTTTGATAAGGTTATAAAATTCTAATAAGCCTTGAGAATTGGCTTTTTTTAAAAAAATTTGGATGTTTCTCTATGATTCAACTTTTGATAAGTGTTTATAAAATTCCAGTAAGCCTTGAGAATTGGCTTTTTTTCTTTGAATTTGGATGTTTTCTACGATTTAACTTTTATGAGGGTTCATAAAATTCTGGTAAGCCTTGAGAATTGGTTGCTTTTTTTTTTGGTAAGTGCATGAATTAATGTGTTGATTTTTTGATCTGTCTGTTGTTTTTAATCGCATAAGTTAATACATTGATTTTTTTTTTTAATCATGGATTTATGCATTGATTTTTTTTAATTAGATTGATTTTTTGATCTGTCTTTTATTTTAATCGCGTAAGTTAATGTATTGATTTTTTTTTAATCATAGATTTATGCATCAATTTTTTTTAACTAGGTTGATTTTTTGTTAGGATTTAATTGCATATATTCATGCATTGATTTTTTTTTAATCATGAGTTTATATATTAACTATTGCGATCATAATGGTATCTTTGCAATGTGGCATAAATTTATTCCTGTGTATTTATTTATTTTTTTTTATAATAGTCTGAATTTTTTTTTGAGTAAAGTAGAAAATTTCAAACATGTCTTCTGTTGCAATTCCTCTTTCTACTTTAAAGACTATTCAAAAAATTATTTTTGAAGAAGATACATGCATTGATTATTTATTTGATAATGATATATTATATAAACCAACATCTTGTATTTATTGTAATTCTTCTCTTTATCGTGAAAGAAAGCTTTACTATTGTTCTAATAAATCATGTCATAAATCTGTTTCTATCTTAAAAGATTCATTTTTTTCAAAAAATCATTTAAAGTATTCTGATACTATGTTAATAGGATATCTTTGGTTATACAAATGTACATATACAAATATTATATCTATGACACACCATTCATCGGTCACAATAACAAATTATATAAATTTATTTAAAGAGTTAATTTCTAGTACATTGGAGAATAATGATAATATAATTGGTGGGCCTAATGTTATTGTTAAAATTGATGAGTCTAAATTAGGCAAGCAAAAATATCATCGAGGTCATCGGGTTGAAGGAGTTTGGGTTATTGGTGGAGTTGAGCGAACAGAGGAAAAAAGTTGGTTTATTGAAACTGTACCTAATAGAACTGCAGAAACGTTGCTTGAAGTAATATCTAGGCATGTTTTGCCTAGTTCTTTTGTTTATACAGATAAGTGGTGATGATATAATGGAATTGAAGAATTTAGTGTGTTTCATGATACGGTTAATCATTCAGAAAACTTTGTTGACCCTAATACTGGAACTCACACTAATACTATTGAAGGTTTATGAAATGGCTTAAAACTAAGAATCCCACTTCGTAATAGGACCAAGGATGAAATTACTACTTATCTTCATGAGTTTATATGAAGAAAAAAAAATAGAAATAATTTATGGGGTAGTTTTATTAATGCTCTAAAAACAACTGCATATCGTGATCCTGAATAAATTAGTACTTTATTTATTTATAATAATTTATAAGTAAATATATAAATCGTAAATATCAATTTCTAATTTACTATATTATCTGTTATATAATATTTGAATATGTTATGCAATATGTAAATAACTATTTTGAAACCTAAACTAAAAGTATGTACTTATAATAATAACAATAATTATCAAATTGATCATTTTACCAAATTTAGAGCACTATCAAAAACTTAGAATTAAAAAAAAGCCAATTTATATGGCTTACTGAAATTTTATAAACCCTTATTAATAGTTGAATCGTAAAGAAACATCTGAATTTAAAGAAAATAAGCCAATTTTCAAGGCTTACCGGAATTTTATAACCCTTATTGAAAATTGAATTGTAGAGAAACTTCCGAATCTAAAAAAAAAAAAAAAAGCTATGAAAATGGGTTTCAAAATTTATGAACTCTTATCAAAGTTGAATTGTAGAGAAGCATCCGAATTCTAAGATAAAAAAATCAATTCTTAAGGCTTACTGGAATTTTATAACCTTCATCAAAGTTAAATCATAGAGAAATATTCGAATTTAAAGAAAAAAAGGCAAAGTAAGATACTTCTGGAATTTTATGAACCTTCATAAAAAGTTAAATCGTAGAAAAACATCCAAATTTAAAGAAAAAAAGCCAATTCTCAAGGCTTACTGAAATTTTATGAACCCTTATCAAAAGCTGAATCGTAAAGAAACATCCAAATTTAAAGAAAAAACGCCAATTCTCAAGGCTTATCAGAATTTTATAACCCTTATCAAAAGTTATAGCGCTTTGCAAAAAGATGTGACTCCATGATTTTTGTGATGATGAACGAGGAAAATTTCTGAGATTTTAAATTGTCTATTAACTCATATTCTCGATCAGTTATATTTATATTTATTTGAAATTGGTAAGATTCTTAAAATCTACAGAATCTCTGATTTTCACACAACATTGTGATCTGTGAGGTCATATCTTTTTGCAAAGTGCAATAAATCGTAAAGAAACATCTGAATTTAAAGAAAAAAAACCAATTTTCAAGGCTTACTGAAATTTTATAACCCTCATCAAAGTTAAATTGTAGAGAAACATCCGAATTTAAAGAAAAGAAGACCAAGAAAGATATTTCTGGAATTTTTATAATCACTTATCCAAAAGTTGAATCATAGAAAAACATCCAAATTCAAAGAAAAAAGCCAATTCTCAAGGCTTATTGGAATTTTATAAACTCTTACCAAAAGTTGAATCATAAAGAAATATCCAAATTTAAAGAAAAAAAGCCAATTCTCAAGGCTTATTGAAATTTTATAACCTTATCAAAAGTTAAATCGTAGAGAAATATTCGAATTCTAAGAAAAAAAAAAAGCCAATTTTCAAGGCTTACCGGAACTTTTTAACTCTTATCAAAGTTAAATCGTAGAGAAACATCTGAATTTAAAGAAAAAAAGACCAAGAAAGATATTCCCAGAATTTTATGATCACTTATCAAAAAGTTGAATCATAGAAAAACATTCAAATTCAAAGAAAAAAGCCAATTCTCAAGGCTTATCAGAATTTTGTAACTCTCATCAAAGTTAAATCATAGGAAAATATCTGAATTTAAAGAAAAAAAGACCAAGAAAGATATTTCTAGAATTTTATGTTCACTTATAAAAAGTTGAATCGTAGAGAAACATTCAAATTCAAAGAAAAAAAGCCAATTCTCAAGGCTTACCAGAATTTTTTAAACACTTATCAAAAGTTAAATCGTAAAGAAACATCCAAATTCAAAGAAAAAAGCCAATTCTCAAGGCTTACCGGAATTTTATAACCCTTATCAAAAGTTGAATTGTAGAGAAACATCCAAATTTTTTTAA